TAGTGATATTTAATTTTAAACATTTTGACATCATAAACACAATCATGAGTACATTTTATTTCAAAAAAATTTAATAATAGTGATTTTTTTTATGTGATATTAAGTATTTGAGTGATCCATATATAAATATATAAGTATTGTGTGGTGTACGTGTAAATGACCCTAAACAAAATAAATAAATAAATAAATTGCAGCTTATGATCACCACATTTTAGAGCTGTCAAAACGGCTTGTTGTTCGCGAACAACTCGTGTTCGACTCGTTAAGAAGCTCGTGTTCGGTTTGTTCGCTCGCTCAATTAACGTACCGAACATAAATAATACGAACAAGTATTTGTTCGTTCGTGTTCGACTCGTATGGCTCGACATGCTTCTAATCAATTATATATATATTTTTGATGAGTGGTATTTTTTAATAAACTAATTGACTACAAGGCTACAAAAATTTATAATTAATTTAAAGTATTAATGAAGAAAATAAAATAAAAATTATTGAATTAGATTCAAATAATGTTTTAAATCTTACCCCAATCCTTAACATCTTATGACTACGTGATTAGGGTTGTCAAAATGACTCTTTTTTTGTGAACGGCTCGTGTTCGCCTCGCTAAGCAAACAAGTCGAACACGAACACACTTTTTGAGCTCAAAATATAAACGAGCCGAATACGAGCTGAGTCTGAGCTTGCTCGTGTTCCGCTCGTTTACACCCCTACACGCGATCACAAAACAACATTACAAAGAAGATTAAGAACCAAGACAGCAGCACTGAGTGATAACAAACCAAACAATTAAGGAAACAAAAATGAAGCACAACCAACAATAATAAAAAAGGAAGCTCCTTGAAACCAAAAAGAAAGCTCCTTGAAACCAAAAAGAAAGCTTAGGTCTTACTTGCATATATAGATGAAAATTCCATCCAAGGATAAAGAATATTTAAAATCAATAATTATAAATAGTTAATTACAAGTTGAATTTTAAAAAGGCAGGAAGAAAAACAAATAAAGAGACAAAGTAACAGAAAATATCAAACCAAACAAATAAAAGACAAGTAAGCACACCAAGAAAAAATAAATAAAAAAAAAAAAGCTTCAATAAAAAATTGTTTTTTTATAAGATTTACATTTATATATATATATATATATATATATATATATATAATCACACACCATGCCGTACCGTAGAGATAGTTTAATTTCATAAAATAATCAAAATAAAATAACTAAGAAAAAAAAAAACTATGTTATAGTATAAATAAGTAAATAAATAAATACACAGATGAGCCTCAACGGAAGAAGGGATAGGACTGCGAGAGGTGGTTACTAAGCATGATTATGACTTTACAATTTCTTAGACAGACAATATATTGAGACAATAAATAAGTAAATAACCATTAAATTACCATAATCATATCAATAAGCTCATATCAATGAATACTAAACTTCTTATATGTTGAAAATGTGTCGGTATTGATTCTGAAGACATTTGACGGTTCAAAAGGAAGAGAGAGCGATAAAGGAGAGCCCTCCAATAGAAGAGGAGGACTCTTTATTTGATCTGATTCAGTCGTTCCTACCAAAGCAAACAACGCCAAATCCGACCTAGCCACGAAAGCGACTAAATTAGAGATATTTTGTCAGAAATGAGACAAAGATATTCAAGCTAACTACTATAAGAAAGCTGACTGAAAGCAATAGTCTACCTTTTGGTATATTTGATCCAATGAAAGACACAACCCCACGTTATCAACAGCCATCCTACGGATGACCCTGAGTTTTTTCATCAGAGAAAAAAAAATTAACAATTCGGCGAAGAATCTTTTAATCATCCCTCATGCTCTCCTTATTATAGCAAAGGTAAAAATATAACATCACCATATTGTAATCTCTGTCATTTAGATAGTGAGATCATTTTATGAGAATGGATATGATAGATATGATGAATTACTCTTTATTATTGTTTATTCCTCTCTCTCTCTCTCTCCCCTATTTTTCTCTGTGTTCTTGTACTCTATTCCTTGGGGTGCGATTAACGGACAAATCAGGATCCAACACTTCTATACATTACTACATGAAACTCCTACAACATCAATTTGGTAAAAGAGAACATAGTTTACATAAGAGTTTATGTGGCCAATTATTACAAGGAAAAACTAGACAAAGGCATCCTTATTTAAATTTAATCATGATCAATTATATCATCATTAATTCTTTCATTGAATTCCCAATGAGTTGGTTGTGGCATATGCAAATATATAAATTTAAAAGTTCATTTCGGGGTTGATGGTCGGATTTATGAATTAAAAAGACTTGAATGATTTGAGCATTGTTTTCCAAAATGAAAAAGGGGGCATTGACAAACATAACACCCAATTATGCATTTACATACCTAACACCTAAACATTACCTCTTACATTTATACCACCCAAATTCTTTATATTAAATAAAAAAGTAACAATATTTTGACTTATTAAAGGTGAAATGCACCTTTTCATGCATGAATAAAATGTCATATATGTAATAATTGAAACTAAAGTGCTAAATATGTAAATTCATAGGAATTGAGTGGCATGCATGTAAATCTTCTAAAAAAAAGTACTACTTATAGAAAAGACACATGTTGCACGTATACTTTAATATTTGAACTGATATTTACGCTAGTCCTGTCGGCTTACAGCAAATACAAAATCCATGTCATCTTCTATTAGGCATTATTGTCTTCCACACAGGTAGAGCACAAAATAATGTAAATTTGTTCTAAAAATTTCTGGAAATTTACAAACATACAACCCAATTCTTACGTATTTACATATCTAACACCCAAAGTTTGATATTTACACACTCATAACACCATGGTGGCATACTTATGCATGAAAATGTGTACCTTTTAAATAATTAGTATGGTGATTTTTTGGCGTGAACTGTGATGTTAAAGATTTGAGTGATATGAATGTAAATAGGACTGTTTAGGTGCTAGATATCTGAATACATAAGAAGTGTGTGGTATGGATGTAAATACCCCAATAATTTATTAATTTTTTAAGGAATAAAGGAACTAAAAAATTAGTAATTAAGCTAAGTTACCTCCATTTGATCTCCCAAGTTGACAAGAAAAGCATGTGGAACAATGGGAACTGAAAATCATTCACCATTTTAAGTACCTGCAGTCCATCCACATCTTGGTCGAGTAAAAAAAGTGTGAGAGCTGAACCATCAGAATGAGCTTTCATACCAATCACTGCATCAGACTTACAACAACCAGGGTAGTAATTAAAGCCTCGTTTGGGACCGATTTTTTCCCGAGAGCGGCACCTCGTTTGGGACCGATTTTTTTTTTGCTTGACCCATTTTTCTTTTGTTGTAACTGGATGTGCAGCTGTGTTGGAGCTATTGAGTTTTTGGGTTTTCTTCAATTGTTTGGATTTTTGTTAGAGAACTTCTGTTTTGTTGATTCGTTTTGGCTCTATTGTTCTGTGTGGATGTTGACTAAATTGAGGCTCAGATGAAAGTGCATTCCTTGTCCTTAGTCATTGATGTCTTTTCTCCTGCGTTGTTTGGATCTTCAATACTTATCTTCTTTAATAATTAACCATCGAAAGAGATGATAATGGGTAGTAGATCATCATAACAAGTTGTTGTGGATGATTATTTTAGCTTGTTAATCACAACATTGACAGTGCCATGGAGTAATGCATCTATTATTTTTCATAATAATATGTTTTATTAGTTTTACAAGTTGAGAATGATTATTTAACAAGTTTTGGAGAATCATATGCTTTTCTTGTTCGGCAATAATTTAGTTTTTAATGTTAAACATGTAAGTGCTTTCATGCGTGAGCTTTTGAGTTTTTATACTATCTTCTTTAATTTTCATGAGAAAAATATAAAAGAAGCATTCCACCAATGTGATTTAATTTTTGCATTGGTGAAAGTTTAGTGGTTGTGTGGTGGCTCAAGCTTGTGATGCGGGTTTTGTGGTTGTGTGTTGGCTGTGGGTTGGGATGGTGGCTATGATTTGGGGTGCTGGCTATGGTTGTGTGCTGGTAGTACTTGTCGGTTGGGGTGAAGTTCTGTGGTTGTGTGGTGGCTCAAGCTTGTAGTGACAGATTCGTAGTGTCAGTCTCGTTGGTTTGTATACTGAGTTCTCTGAGACCTCACTCCTGAACAAAACTATAATTACTTCTTTTATCAATTTCTACTTATTTATTTTGTACAGTCCTATTTATTTCCGTTCCTTGTATATTTGATGTTGATTGTTTCGAGTTTTTTATGTTAATTATAAATGTATTTTCTTTCCATTTGCATTTCACTTGTTTTTCTTTTGGTGGCTTTGGGAGGTCAATAATGGACATTTGACCTTTGTAGGTTCTTTTAGATGGTCTGTTAGTCGCTATTGGTTGGTTTCACATGTGAAATCCTAGTGAGGGGAACCAAATTCCTCTCTTCTTTTCCGTGATATGGTTTATGAGGATCTTCTGGATGACCTTTTTTTATGTTATGCTTATGTGACACGCGAGCTTAGTTTTACGTGGGTTAAAGACAACCAAAAATCTTTTTTTTACAAGGTATAATGTCTTCTTGTAGTAACAGATTCGTTGGTTGGTATACTGAGTTCTCTGAGACCTCAAGTCTGGAAAAAATTGTAATTAATTACTTCTTTTAGCAATTTCAACTTCTCTTATGACTAATGATTTATCTTTTGCAGTATTCAGGAAAGATGAGCTTAAAGATTTCAGGGACCTTCCGACGATTGCTCTGCCACTACGGAGTTCAGACTTACTTACGTCATGTCGGGTGCATTGCTATGAGAGATGTTTCTACGGTGCCCACGGAGAATCACGAAAAAGTGTGACTTCTTCCGGTGGGCAGACAATCCCGCAGATTCCACTGACGACAGTGATTGAGAATGGATAGCATCTCTGGAAGACATCATACCTCGTGACGTATGTCTTTTGCATTTTAAAAATAAAATTATCATATTATTAAATGTAATTTTAATAGTTTTTTCTTTTTTAGTAATCTTGATACTCACTGTTAAGTGAGGTGTATATCTTATTTTTTGTATTTTTCTGAAATGAATTTTTTATTATAAGTATCAAATATATGACTATGACAGTTCTGTTACAAATAACTCAAATGATTTCCCCCAATCGGATTTAAGGTTTTAGGGTTTTAGGGTTTAGGTTTTGGGGTTTAGAAGTATGACAGTTCTGTTACAGACACGGGCAAAATGAACATTTTTCCGGAAATAATTGTCTCACAGCTGTTTTCAAACCTTAAACAAAAAGTCTGTTAGTTTATCCGCAACAGCTTCTGTGCAGCAGCTTCTTGGGGCAGCTACTGCGCAACAACTTATTGATAAGATGCAGCTGCCCCAAATCTTAAATCCCGCAAATCCAGTGCCAGCTCCCATTTATCAATGAAGTACTGTTCTTCCAGTTTCAGTAGCCTTGCAATCCGCCGTTGGAACATTGTTGGCAATCTTCTTTGTTTTCATGCAATAAACTCCTACACTAAGAAATATAAATCATTTGTTTTACATCAGATTTACTGTAACAGCTGAGTTCTCATTATGTCAGAACATGTTATAGATCTTTTTTGTAGTGGACACTTGAGTATCATGATGTAAATGCGCTTATTCTCATAATGTAAAAGAGAAAATGATTTTTCTTTAGGTTAAATCATGAAGAGAGGAAGTATCTACTCATGCCAATATTTGCTATACAAAGTTCACGGTTAGGATCTCAAAAGTTTTGACATAGCTTCTCCATGGAATTTGATCAATTGTAGGCTTGAACACCTGACCTTGTGCATAAGTATTATCGTAAATCAATTATTGATATCATCATCATCATTATTATCTCCATCCCAACTACTAGGAAAGGCTTTATTCATGCTAACTTAGGTCTTCTCATTCTTTACTCTCTAATTTTCAAAAAATAATTTTGTTCATACAATGAGTGCACTTTCTATCTTTCATATTACACTTCAAGATCACCAAAGATCATATCTTAAATTCACTTATATTTCATAGATCTCACTCTATCATTCTTCTAATATAATTATTTCTTAATTTAACCTCTTAGTTTTGTCAAGAATCCTTTTAGCATTTTGATTTATATCACAACCCAAACTATATATCTGCTACTTTGTAAGGTGAAAATTTGTACTTGATCAAACACAATTTTGGCTCAGTGTATTAATCTTATAACAAATCAAGAAGGCTAAATCAACACGCTAAGCACTCAAAAATAAAAAAAAAGAATAAAATTGAAACAACACATATTTTGCAAAAGGGATAGTTTTATCTAAACCAAGCTATCGGCGCAAAAACTGCCCAATTCAAAGCACTGATAGAGTGAAAATAAGTAAAAGTGGTTAGCCCTGTCGCTTTAGCATGTTGTTTGATATTTTCTAACTTCTTTTTGTTTGACACTGGCTTGCCAAAATCAGCTATAGTAAATATATTTTTCACAAGTATGATACATTTACATGTGCATTTCCCCACACCAATAATTTGGATAAAAATATGCAAGTGCTTGACAAATTTTTACAAGTGATATGAAGCATTTGGTGACACTCATGTTTCCTTATCTGAGACCCCAAACATTAACTATTAATTTATACATCTGAGTGAAAATTTCAAGATCCTATTACACTATGTTGACTTTCCCCCAAATTACTTGTGCAGCATTAAGACCAAGTAAAGAGATCCAATTTGTTCTTCGAAACAACTGATAAGCCTAGTAGACTTTACCAATTCATTATTTGTATCTCACATTGGAAAGTAAAGATCGACCATTTCAGGTGAATAGATGGTACTATCTTGGTACCAAATCTTTCCTCTTTACTAAATCACCATTTGAATTGAGATAAACTATTGGAAAAAAAAATCCTCCCATTAAGTTTGTAATATGTGATTCGATGGAAACTACCCATCTTCTCTCCATCTTTGCTTGACCATATTAGAGCCCTATTGTCAGTATTTGCAATTGTTTGGCCAAGAAGAAGCTCTCATATCATGTTAGAATAAAGGATGTCAAAAAGAATGAGAGAACGAAGTAGCGAAATTGTACACATAAGAATGAATCTACACGAATCTCAAAGTAAATGGGCAATCCGAAAAGGAAGCACGATTGGTCGGACGTAGTAACAGACGATCATTTCTAGATAAGCAACAACAGAGAAAATATCTTACCAAACGATCGACAGAAGATGTCAAAAGGAAGCCCCTTAAGACGGTCATCAGCCTTCATAACGATCGATGGGAGCACTCTTTCAGACCATGCATCGATCGAACCAAGACATGTCAGAACAATCGACGATCCTTATCGATTAAATAGGTCCCGAGCTTTATTATATGCAAATAATCTTCTAAATTACTAAAAGGCCCCCCTGAAAGGTTAATGATTATGATGCTAATATGTACATTTGTAATATTTGAACCTAAGGCTATAAATTGGGATCCATATTATAAATAAAGAACATCTTTTGCTTTTCTACTACTGCTCCACTCTCACTCACTCACTCACTCTCTTTCTCTCTCTTTCTTAATTGCCTCCTAATAGAATGCTCCATTCCTTGAGCATGTTTCCTGGAAAATCTCATATTCAACATCCTTTAAAGTGCGGTGAGCGTGGAAAAATGTCATCAACAATAAGAAGAACACAATAACAATAACAACAAGGAGAGTCTAGCTAGAGGAATGAAGGACAAGTATCATGTACCCGAGAGTTCATGGAAGAATTTGTTTAGCAAGGTTGGAAGACTTAACAACTCAAATCACCAACCAGATGTCAGGACAGTTCTTTGAGGTCCTTAAGGCAGTCGCTACCCTAGCAGCCCATCTAGTTCCAGTTGGAAAGCAAGCAAGGTAAGGAACACATAACCCTTCTTAAGAAGAACCGCCAGCCAATAATTGAAGGAGAGAAATCCACCGACGGGAAAAGTCTGAAGACAGACTGCACCAGGACAGCGTCGGATCCGTCCCTACGGAGGAAAGGAACTAACCGATGCAGACTGAGGCACATATACTACTGGAGAACGCTTTTTCACTGCAGATCTCAGGAGTTGAACCCCTGGAGAAGTTTAAAATGCCAGCCCTGGAAGTATCCAAAGGACGATCAGATCCCAACAACCACATTTGTTGTTTGAATCGTCTATCTGCCTATTAAAGATTTCGGATGCCCTCAATTGCAAGTTGTTCTTCACGACGCTAAGATCGACCGCTCTAAGTTGGCTTGACAGATTGCCCGCGAGGGTAATCATCTGCTTCACAGAGTTCAAAAGGCTCTTCCTATTCTAGCTCGTCGGTGCCCTGAGGCTCAAGAAGAACACTCGATCCTAGTGGCAGCTGCAGCAGGGGGAAAACGACAGCCTACGATCGTTTATCGCGCATTTCTAGAGTGAGACTCTAGATGTCAAGGATCTAAAGTCCGACATGGCTCAGACCGTGCTAACTCAAGGAGTAAGGTCGGAAAGGTTCTGTTTCGACCTCAAACTCGCAAAAACCTTAGAGCTTGGCCGAGCCGTTGGAGATGGTCAACATATACATCATTTCCACGAGAACGCTCCTGATCCCGCTAAGCAAAGACACCAGAAAAGCCTCCCACAAGACACCAAAGGACAACCCAGACAAAGCACATGACAATCAAACCGCCCCTGCTACGAGGGTCGGCCAAATCCTCTGTAAGCGAGACAGAGTCGACAAAATTAAAAGATAAAAATTTCTTCAACGATGGTCGAGTTGATAGAAAATTTTAATTAGAGGGTATATTTTCAAAATTAAGTTTTAATATTTATTTGAATAATTTCAACTGATATATATATAATCCTAATCCTTTGTAAGCAAAACGGAGTAAACAAGATTCATATATAATTGTCTATCAATGCTAAGTTCGATCCTTTACAAGCAAGATGTAAAGTTGACAGAGTTCAAATCAAGCAACCAATTCTCCCGAGGGTAATCTTTTAAAATAAGAATTTTCAAAGTTATCAACCAAAATACTCAAGTTAAAATCAAATCACTTAAGACTTAAAGCACTTCATCCACCCTCTGCAATAACTTGTCGAGGGTGACAAATTTTTGACTGGCATCAGCTCACAAATAGCTAATGTCATATTAAATGTATTCTTATACTTAAAATCAAAGCAATTGCATGCTAGATGCGCCTAAGTCCCTTGTCTATGTGTCTCGCCAACAAATGACACCACAAAATAACGGTTACGATCATAGCACTCGGACCTGATTGTTATTGTCAAATGACGTCATTATATTACGGTCACGGTCGCAGCTCGTATATTCTGTAATGACTTTCTACCATTTCAATTGTTAATCATAAGGGTACAACTGATTGAAAAAACCTTCTTTTAGCTAAGGTCGACTTAAACTTTTCCTCTTAGACAAACATCTACTTCATATCTACAAAAATCTCTTGAACGACGTAACTTATGACTGTTGACAAGAATCTATCTGTCAGTTTAGGACGACTACATCCTTTGACTAAGTATATCAAGGACCAAGAAGATTCGGGATTACCAAACCATGGGATCTTTATTTGGTTTTGTCTTCATTTCCCCAATATCTACTTTAAGCTTCAAGTAATAAATTTTACAACTTAAATCCTAAATTTGTTGTTATTAAATGTTGAATATTCAATTTTAAATGATTAGCCTTAATCGAAAGTGTTCTCCTGTTATCAGGTGGGGTAATTAACTATAGAGACTTACGTCTATATGAAACCTCAAATCCCATATTAAAAAAACCCTCACAAAATGAGGGCTAAATATCTAGTTATATTTGGGTAGTATCCTATCTACAATAATCCACCTTAGAAAAATTTGATCCTCCAAAACTCAACAAACAGAAATAAAAATAAATGTTGAGCCCAGGAGAGGCCTTCGAAATTTTCAAAGCTCACACCTAATAATAATTTCTACCACACCCTGAACTTTATTCACTTATTATGGAAAGTAATTCATCGGTTTTAATCATAATCCTGTATTTTAATACATATATATATATATATATATATATTGTTTATTTAAATAATTTTCATATTAGGAAATTATTGTGCATAGTGTATATCAAACTCAGAAATTAAATATTTTATCAATCCTATGTTTGAATTAGAAACGATTGATTGACAGCATATATGAAGTCAATTATCTTACACTAGTTTTATGAGGCCGGCATGAAAGGGATGAATTTCTTATGACATCGATTTCGTTAAAGAGAACATGAGGAGTTTATAAGAGTTTGTGTGGAAAATTATTAAAAGGGAAAATTGGCTTTAAGACAGCCTTATTTAAATTTAATCATTATCAAATTTATAATCGTTAATTCATTTTAAGATGCGTGTATGCTCCTCATCTAAAAATAAATCAAATAATTATAAAATTATTCTGATTAATATTAAATTAGAATATCCTAACTCAAATTTTCTCCTCCATATCGTAAAATTTTAGCCTATTTAAATCTTGGTCCATTTGCATACATACCACCCAATTCTTGTGTATTTACACATCTGAAATCTTTAATATCACTATTTTAACTAAAAAAAAAATTCACATTTTCATGCACAGATAAGGTGGCATACATGTAAAAATTGAAGCATAGGTTTTACATGTATAAATACATAGAAATTGCGTGGTATGAATGTAAATCTTACTTAAATCTTCGCAAAGTCAATGGATCTCTTTCCTTGCGCTAAGTATTGGAAGAGGTTATCAATGTAATCCTTAAGCAGCACCTTCCTGTACAATTTTGGCTCTCCATCCACCAGCTTTTCTGCAGGCTCTAAGTATTTTTCATAATTAAAAGAATAGAACATGACCAAAGAAATTCTGTCCTGAGAGCTTGCTACCACCTGGGGCACAGGGCTCTTCAACTTCCCATTGCACATTATCTGAAAAACCACTACTTTCAATTATTTTATTTAGAAACAATATAAAATTTTGAAATAAATTCAATCACGAGTTGGAGTACTAATTTTATTAGTAATGACAAATAATAAAAAAAAAAGTTTGGGTGAGGGACGATGAAACTGAACTCACTGCAACAAAACCTTCAATTATATTTTTTCAGGTTGTGGGTGGATATGAGCATTTACATACATACCAGTCAATTCATATGTATTTACACATCTTACACCTAAACATTACTTCTTACATTTTTACAACCGAAATCTTTATATTGCATCATTATCTTGACTTTTAAAAAGTGAGATATACCTTCTCGTGCCTAGGTAAAGTCGCATATATGTAAAAATTGAAGTTAAGGAGTTTGATATGTAAATGCATAAGAATTAAGTGGTATTTATGTAAATCTTACAAAAATATTTTATATTCATAGAAAAAAAGAAGAAATATATCATGTTACGTATATTATTTCATATTTGAAAGTATATTTATGCTACTCCTGTTAGCTTACCGCTTTATGTATTTACATATCTAATAACCAAAGTTTGATACTTACACTCATAACACCTTGGTGTGATAAACTTATGCATGAGAAGTTATAATCCACTTTTAAAAAGATAACGGTGGTGTTGTTTTTGGTATGATATTACAGATTTAGGGGGGTATACGTCTAAATATGATGGCTTAGGTGTTATATATGTAAATACATAAGAATTGTACGGAATGCAAGTATAAGCCCCAAAATTTTGTTAATTATTATAGAAATAAAGGGACTGAAAAAAGAGTAAATCAGTTTAATTACCTCCATTTGATCTCCCAAGTTGACAAGTAAAGCATGTGGAACAGTGAGGACAGAAAACCACTCGCCATCTTTAAGTACTTGCAATCCATCGACATCTTTGTCAAGTAGCACGAGTGTGAGAACAGAACCATCAGAATGAGCTTTAATACCAATCACTGCATCAGACTTGGAACAACCAGGGTAATAATTAAACCTCGCAAATGTAGTACCATCTCCCATTTGATCAGTGAAATAATTTTCATCCAGTTCGAGCAGCCTTGCAATCGCCATTAGAACACTGTTGGCAATCCTCTTTGTTTTCATGGAAAATTCATGTAATAAACTCCTACAATGAGAAATATTAGTCAATTATTTTGCTTTAGATTGTACATTAAAATGTGAGTTTGCGTTATGTCAAAGTTTATATATATAT